TAAAATTCCATTCGTAGGAATTCTGTTTGTAATCTATAAATTTAGACTAAAATAAACTATCAAAGAAGATAGTTTAAATCAAAATTGAAACTTTTACTCTGCGTTTGGCACACTGTGAAATTAGTTAAAAATGCATCGACGGAATACTTTTTTTCTCTAATTATCTATTTTACCATTCACTTGAGATTGGCTCACAATATGCCTGCAAAGTTTTAGTCATACAAAAATACTGGACAACACTGGCTGAAGTGAAAGTACTGTGCTTGCATCAATAAATACCTAGAATTACCTAGAATGTTTTAAGTTAAAAAGAGCAGTAATTTCCTAAGTTGTAAGCTTCAGTTATTAAAACGCAATATATACCGTCTTTTCCATATAATCTCAATTTAGTTCTTTTAGCAAAGCTGCGATAAAATTATTTGCTTTATGTTTTACTAATTTAAGGAAATTTGTTTTGTTATATACCTTTGTCTAGCTTACACTAACGAGCCAAAACATTATGACCATTCCCACATATTCCAATAAACTCGTCTGGAGGACGTGGAGGACATGTGCTTAAGTGAGAATGTATTTAACTGCTGATGGACAAGGTAAGGAACCATTCTTGCACTTACTTTTGCGAGTGATGGGAAAGGCTGCTGATCTAAGCGAATTTGATAGAGGGTAGATTGTAATTGCCCGAAGACACGGAAAAAGTATCTCCGAAACTATATGGCTGGTAGGTGGTTTACCATCTGCTGTTGTTAGTATTTATGCAAAGTAGATAAATGACGATGGAACCATCAGTAGACGCCAAGATGTTGAATGTCCACGCCTTATCAGAGAAAAAGAACGTCAAAGACTGTCCCGCTTGGTACAGCGAAATCGATGTCAGAGAGTGGCTCAGCTGACAGTCCAATACAAAGCAGGTCCAAATGCAAGTATTTCGGAACACACAGTTCAGTGGACACTGTTGGATATGGGACTGCGCATCAGACGTCCCACTCGTGTGGCTGCGTTGACTAAGCGTCATTGTCAACTACTCCTATAGTGGGCCCGTGAAAATCGAGACTGAACCACAGATAAATGGAAGACAGTTGTCTTGGTTGGATGAAGCAGGATTTCTCATTCAACCCGTCGATGGGCATGTCAGGTATTTTTTTTAAATCCAAGCAAGGATACGTTTTGCACCGTCACATGTGTAAAACATCAACCTAAACTATTCTCTTACAGCTGGTGCTATTCTTTAATTTTAGTAAGAGATGATGTTGATAGACGTGTGTAAATAATAAATATGAATATTTTAACTAATTAGCTCATATTTATCTGCTGTCATTCTAACATGAATTTTGTGAAATCATTATAAATTAGTTTAATAATACTCGAAGTTCTTTCGCTTATAATAAATTATATTTTGTTAATTTTAACTGCCGAGTAATCAAAGAACAGCTGAAGCAAAATAATAATAATAATAATAATAACAATTTAATCTGAATTTACCTCAGTAACTGTTGCGTGTAAGGTTAGGTGTAAATTATTAAATATTTTAGTCTTTTCGTTCAGCCCTTGCCACTTCTAGGCGAACAATTGCTCCCCATATATAGCAGGTCATAAAAAGACTGGTCGTGGCGTTATTATGCCTTGGGAACGTTCTCATGGGCAGCTTTATAACCCTTAGTTTTGGTAGAACAGACCATCAAAACTGCGGGCTGTCTGAACTGAGGCTGCAGCCTTACATAACGTCTGTCTTCTAAAAATGGAAATTTCCATTATTGCAACACCCCCTGTGACAAGGCTTGAACTATGTTGGAGTGGTTCGAGGAATATAAGGATGAACTGAATTAATGTCCCGGCCTAACTCGCCGGATTTTAAACCGATAGATAACATTTGAGGTGTCATGGAGCGGCATCTCAGAGCTCAAACACCACCCTGTCAGAATATCTCGACTTTGTATGAACGCTGCGTAGACATTTGGTACAACCTGTCTCCGTCATCTACCAAGAACTTGTGGTATCCATGCCAAGGCGAGTTGCAGCTGTTTGTATCGATTCTCTTTCTATGCATTCTGTTTCCGAAATTATTTATTTTTCATGTCACAATAACTTATTTCAGAAAATTTGTTTCCGCAATGATTGTATGTATATGTTCTCATTCCTTTTGTTTACCTGGCTATTAATGATATGTTAAATAACATGGTTGTTGAATAAATCAACCCCAGAAACTTTTTCGATCCTCTAGTTCCTTGGCACAAGAAAGTTAGGTTAGTTTCAGAAACACAGATTTTAAGATTGTTGGTTAATTGAGTAGGATTCTTAAAAAATTTTAATCATTGTTATGTTCTCATGTACCGTTACAAGTGGTACATTTTCAAAACAATTGTCTAATTGTAGAGCATTTAATATGAAAGAGAAGTAAAGAAAGTTAAATTCTTTTCTCAAAATCTTTTTAGCATCTAATTTCAAAGTTCTTATTATTAAAGCTGCTCCCACTTTTGGATGCCACGCAGTCTGAAGCAAGTTTTGGAGGTAAAGTCTGCAACATAGCATTCTCTACAAATAATCCTGTGCAATATACATCCTTTGTCAGAAAAGTTCTAGGACAATTTATTTTTTTAATTTCTGAGTTTGCAGTACTAAAGTGGAACAAATGTTGTTTTTATGTTACCTAGTATGTATTCTTACTTAATATGACCATGGCCATGTTTCCTCGCAAACGTAATAGGTGGCAGGGCTGTGCTTAGCAACACACTGTTCGGATTGTTGTCACATTCGTTAAGTGACACAATAGATGCTTACTGTGAGCAAAAAGGGAACTATAAGTTCTGCGTTAAGCTCGGAAAAACCCCTAGTGAAACTTGGAACATGAGTAAGCAAACATATGCAGACGAGGCACTTTCAAGAAGTCGTGGTTTCCAGTGGCATTAAACGGTTTCGTCAAGGCAGAGATTCAGCGCAAGATGTTCCCAGAGCTGATACCGATGTGTGGAACATGTACGGCAGTTATTGCAAGAAGACCGAAGAGAAAATTTACCAAATGAGACAAAACTTGAGCATAAATAATAACAATGTGAACTCTTTCTCTTATTTATTAACTTTTTCTTCGCCGCATAAATAAAAATACATATGTTTGTATGTACATAATTATAAACTTCCTTGCCTCTTATAACAGCCTGACACTTGATGGCATTTTGTTTCTGATAAAGTTTGTATCCTCAAAGTAGAAATTACTAGAAATTGTCTTCATCGTGGATTTCAGATGATAATCGGTCAGTCGGATTCTTTTCTTATTAGTTTTCAACTGGAAAAAAATCTGTTCACATATTCCCAAACAAAGCGATTGTTCTTAGTACAAAAATTCTGGGCTTATCCATGTTTTGACAAGTACGAAAAAGTATTAGTAAAATCTGCATCTTCAAATCTTTTAATAAGATTTATATCACATTGTAAGTTAATTAGGTCTATTTATCGATTTTCTGTAACGTTATTCATGTTCGTTTTTAAAGGAAATGAAATTAATTTAAACTCGGACTTTAAGTAACCAAACTCTTGAAATCTTTGCAACACCGTAGTTGCAACAAATACATAACTAAAATGTATTTGCGAGCGGCATAAATTTAATCCGAGGGCCTAATGTGGTCCGCAGTCCGCCAGTTTGATACCAATGTCCTAAAAAACGAATAGTTTATATTGATACATACAGCAGTACTCAGTTTGAAAAATGCCCATTTCTGTTTACAATGAAACAGAAGTAAATAACAAATAATGGTCCTTTTGCTTTAATTAGTTACTCAATAGCAAGTTCGTTTCTTCCTTTATTTGGGTACTTTGCCTAGATTTCGGAATGAGATCTACTGTTGTTCATACTAGCTCCTTCCTACATTTGCAATAGTTTGTAGCTTTTCCGTAGCTTCTAAGATTTTATTATAAACTAACATGGGAGAATTCTTTCTGGACAATAATCGATTACGTTTTATCAACTTATAACTTTTCACTTATGAACCAGACTATGGTATCTAGTAAATCATAATGATGACGTGTGACTAAGCAATACGAAAAAAGAGTTTCCACTGTATAGCGATAAAAAAAGATAAGCAGCTTAAAGCAGTCTTCACTGATTATGGTTATTAACGTAAAACGTAACGTTTCGATTTTATTTCAACTTTTAGCAGTGGTAATCTAATGTTATAGTTCTCCTACTAAACTTGTTAAAACTTACTGGATCGAGTTTAAACTTTCTACTTATGAATATTTTATAATTCTAACCCAATAAGAAAAATAATTATCGAAATTAATTGATTTTAATGTAGTAAGCAATCTACTGCATTCAGTTATTTATTTTCTTTTAATGGCGGCACTAAAACAAGTTGTTATTTTAATAATTTCTTTTTCCCACCATTTCGCTTACTACGTGATTATCAATTTTCATACCTGCTGTTTAATAAATAAGCATTTTTGTAATTTTTTTATTTTCAGTGCCATGCTAATATCAATTACCAATAGATTTAAATATCGGTATTCTAAATTAATACGCTTAACACATAACAGCATATAAAGCAATTATACCAGTTTATTATATAATGATACTGATACGTTTCCTAGAGCCTCTGAACGTTTCAGTGCTATTTGAGCTTACAGCGTAAAACCTCATAAAGATTATTAGGTTTTTAGATACCATTTTAATAACATTGTGAAGGTCAGGAGTGCGACAACTCAACACGACTGACAATCTTGCAGGCGGAATGTATATGAGAAATAAGAGGAGTGTGAGCGCATCGACCAATTCGTAATAATGAGGCAACGAAAATGTAACCTCTTAATCATCACTTTTTTCTTTAAGTTCGTAAATAATCACTAATGTAACTAACTCCACCAATAGCTAAATTAAATAATTATGTTTTTCGCCTGTCTACAACTCCCCTAGATACCTAGCTTACAATATTTATAAAAATATTTTGGACATACTTAAATTAGTACGGTTTTTTAATCTTAATTTTTTTTTAAAATTCTTTAAGGATGCTTACCTTATCAATGAAATTGGAGGACGCGGAGTAATATGAGCTGGTATCCGAAGTTGAGGCCTGAGATGTTTTGTCTCTTGCAGTCCTCTGTCTTCGGTATTTCGGGGACTCAGGCTTAGGTCCCCTGAGTCCCTTGAGCTTCTTGAACAAACAATCCATTCTGGAAATAACATAACTCAGTAAGTTGAAAATATTTCTATAAAAATTACTTACTGCTTTAAGAGGTTTTTATATATAAGAGTGTAATCAACAATTCCATCTTCATCATTGATAAAATTACTTGAAAGCTGAGCTGCGTTATGTTTTTATATTAAAAGAAAACCATTAAACTAATTGCAGTTAACCACATATGCATAGGTAACTAATTGTTCAAAAAAAGTAGTTTATTGTTGAATTATATTACAAAAATGAAATGCTAGAAACGAACTTTAGTTTAGTTAGGTTTTTGGCTCTTTTACACTATCAGAGTTTATTGATATACACATTATAATTCTAAGCCATAATAATATCATATCCCTCTGTACGTCAGGAAGACATCAATGTCATATCGACATAGATATAACATTGAGAGGGGTTGTGGCCTCGGACTCGTTGTTGAATTATAAATAAATTAACAAACAAATCGGTATGAAAAAAAAATTGACTGCATTTTATGTGTAAGTATTTATATTGTTGAGTTCTAGGGTTCGTGGATTTGGAGTGATCGACGACAACATTTGATGAAGAATCAAAACATAATTTATTCGTCAGTATTACAGAGTACAGTTCCAAAGACATCTTACAGTCGTCAATAAACTACGACAAGCACGCTGAAACAATCAGCAACACAGCCTTCAGATTACCAGGCTATAACGGTGAAGACAGCTTCACGGCAAAGCACTAAAGTAGAACTCCCGACTCGTTCGATCGCTCTCGGAGCTTAAGACACTACTCTCTGCTACTGACTTCAAGATACTCTTCACGATAAAACCCATGATACACTCTCGCGAGGCACTGATAATACACTGCTACTCCGCGTACATGCAGGGTTTGTAGCTTTTTTATCTGCGTTCGAGAATATTCTGGGGTAAACCGATAAGAATTCGTTCTAGAATGTTCTCGCTCCGTCTATGGCATACCGCCAATTTTGTCGACAAATGGGCGATTTCGCATCAAATCTTGCAACCCTGCCTTCCCTTGCTATTTTCTGGTAACCTTAAACTCGCTTTGAGGGGAAGCTATTTACCGCAGCTAAAAATTTCTTAACGATATCATTAGAGAAAAATCTCAACATTTTATCTAAACTACTTCGAAATATCCACTCAAGCTTTCAAAATAAATAAATAATAAAATCTATAGAAAGATATATTCATTAATAGAAAATGCAAAAGTCTGCAATATGCTAAAAAAAAGGACAGAAAAATTTTGGGGATTATGGTATTAAAATAGTTTTAAGATTTAACAGAATCTCAGACTCTTCTCAAAATGGCAGTTTGAGATTATTGCTCTTTTAAATTCTTTAATTGATTAACTTGGGAAAAACATAAATCACTTAGTTGTGTCAAAAATCTGATTTTACAATAACATCAGTTTTGGCCTTAATTTTCAGCGCTTGTCAATGTTGGTTCGGTGAATCTTTTCTCAGAAAAAATTGTTTACATTTTCCTCCCCTTCTTCTTTTCCTCAGCTTTTCATATTCATTTTCAAGTGCCCATTTTTCGATTGCCATTTTTGTGCTTGTATCTGAAGTAGGGATACTTACGAGTATATATGTTTATTACTAAGATGTTTAAAGATATAATTCAGTAATTAATTTACGAAGATAATACAACTTTGGACACTTGTTCATATAATTGCGCCTGACTGCGCAAACTAACTTTTGTTGGTTTAATGTGAATGATGGTTTAATTTTAAGTTTAATTTGAACGATTTCTAACGAGAGATGTTTAACTGGATTACATAAAATATGTACAATTTTTAGGAGAGAAGTGAGAGTTAAATATGATGAAAGGAATATAAAGAGAGCTCATATATTACATGTGAAAAATAATTGAATTAAGTTTAAAATTACAAAAAGAAGTAGTTTAATAAAATATTAATGCTCTTAAACTCTAGTAATTAAAAGGCTAAATTAACGTCCTAATTATCTGGCAAAATCTGACATTTTCAGTCTGTGTTTTTGAAAAATACATTAGCACTTTAGATAGGAAACTTTATGGTATAGGAGCATGTTTTAATCAATTGGTAAGTTGGTGTTTTTATTTAACTAAACATATCCTGGGAATTATAAATAAATATTCTTAAAACCTACAACTCTAATTTACATAAGCCAGTCAAATAAAAATATTGTTAATATCCAAGTCAAAAACTACATTAAATATGCTATCATTTCAAGTATAATATTTCGTAACGTTTAGCCTTACATTTTCGTCTAAACTGTCTTCTGGAAACTACATTGAAAACATAGCGTAAAATGGATATATCAATATAGCTTCGAGAATTCAACGTTGCTTTTATGTTCTATGTGTTATGCTAGTTCCTTTCTTCTTTTTCATGTTTTGCATGCTTTTCCATTTTATTTTGATTTATTTATTATGCATATAAAGTAAATAGTAAAGTACAATCAACAAGAAAGGAAAAAAAGTTTAATTGAGATTTATTATTCAGTTATTTATCAGCATAATTAGAAAAAATAATTAAGATAAAAATATGTTTCGCTATACTGAAGATATTTTGAAGTGAAAAAAGTCAAAAAATTCTAGTGTTCCTATTAATGATTTCCATTATAACATTGTCTCATATTGATTCTTTCCACTTGCTTAAACAGTTTTTTTTAATAATTGAAATTACATTATTAAAAATTACTTCCTGTGTTTGTGAATAATTGTTTCAATTCCTCTTGCCATATTAATTAAAAGAAAATGTTATTCCTGTCAGTAAGCATGGCCTTTATGAACTTTTAGAACTGAGGAACCTCGAAAATTTGTTTAAGCACTTGAAAGGAAGCGTTTAAGCGAAGAATTGGTTGCCCATCGATTCCTCTCAAATTTTATCCTGTCAAAAATACGTTAGATGTAGCGTTGTGCGTCTGTTGTAATTAAGCAGTTTAATGTTCGAAATTATAATCTGAATTCTAATGTAGAAAACATATTTTGCAAGACACTAATTTCTATTAAACACTAATTTCCAAGAGAAAAATATTTTTTAAGTTATTAACATTATTGAATTTATTCGCGTTAGTATACATTTAAAATTTGCTGGGAAATCGCGCAGTACAATATGAAATTTCCTGAAATTTTGGCGGCCTAGGATTTATACTAATAATTTTCCAAAAGTTATTCATTATTTTTCGTTGATTATTCTGACACATCTATTTTATATAGCATGTTTAATAAATACTTTGCGCTACTGAAAAATTTACTTACATCTTGCAGATTCCAAAAATAATTTAAAATATTCGAGAAAAATCATCTCAAATTAAAAGTTTTATGTTCTATGAAAATTTTGACTTTTGCTTTTCTTAAAGACTATTTTTTAATCAGATTGTAGAGACATTAGGATTTTTTGGAGGCTGGAGAGATGAAACATTAGCAACCGCCTTCGGCGGGAATCGAAACACGGACCTCTGGAATACCGGCTCATCGTGCAGAACCACTACACCACGAAGGCACGCCAAGAAGGTGTAGGAAATACCTTATAAGATCTAAATTATTCCCAGCAACAAATTTATAATTATCACCTTTAATGTAGAAGAGGAAATATTCTTTGATATTTCGTAAAATAAACTGATTCTTTCCCTTCAGCTGTTTAAAGATTTCTGAAGTAGCAATGTGATATAAACTTACAGTGTTTCTTTGTAAACTGTTTAATGATGGCTTAATGAGTGAAATTTCTTCAATCAACCTATCAGGTTCAGTGTTCCTCCTTACTTGCTTGGGGAACATTAAATGACCTGACTCGAAACAGGGAGCTTACTAAAGCTATGTTCAATAAATGTGGGAAGTAGACAAGATACACAGGAAGGGTATACGAAACCCTTTAGTTTTCTCTCTTTACAAAGATTTCCGGACTTCGGAATACAGAGACCAACCACTTGTGGTCTGAACGTAAGAATATAAAAATATTAACTAAATTCTAACTAAACTAACTTTGGATTAATAAACAAGTGTCTACTTGAAGATTGGCCGTATATTAACAGAAAGGCCGTATGTAGTACACAGAACTGTTAACACTACGATACGTTTAAAATTATCAAGAGGATTAAACCTCTGGCCTTGAAGGCAACCAGCAACCGAATAAAACTGCTAAGGTAAGCGGCCTGCTTCGACTAACTCCTTCCTCTCTCTTGCTTGACAAAAAGCCACAACTTAAGTACTTGGCTTTCGCAAGACAAATTTGCATAAATAAGTTAAAGCTTTTAATTCTGGCCGGAAGTAGAAAATAAGAAGTGATAGTAAAGATTTAAAATAAAATAAACGTTAGTAAAACTTAAGATCGTTACAAACCCAGTAGAACGTGACTCAGAATTGTCCTTTTTTTTTTTTTTTTTTTTTTTTTTTTTTTTTTTTTGTTGGAAACCTGTACGTCATCGGAAATATGCATGGAATATTTTAGGATCAGAATTTCATTCTACACGTATCTAACATGATTATTTTAAAAAAACTGAGTTGCAAAAGATTGATAAAAATAAGGTGTTGCATTTTCAAGTCATTAAATAAAACCATAATGATGAAAAAACGAAAACAAATTATGGAAAAAGATATAAAAACAGCTAGCTAAATGTTATATACCGAATAAATGAAGAAGATTTAAAATCTCGTCTTTTTTGCTAAGATAATTAACGGGTCGACTTTTGTATGCAGCTGTGTTTTTCTCATAGAAAGTGAATATTATGGCCCAGAACGTTGTTTTCAAATGCATTTATCTTTTCTGTTTTAGTCCTGTCAGCTTTATCGCCCTTTTATTTAACATGAAAGAAAGAAAATGATGAAGAAAGAGGTTGACTCTAAGTATCCTCCCCGCTTAATCGTTAACAAGGATGAATTATTTTTCAATTCGTTAAACGCCAAAGGAAGTTACGATTAGCTAATTATTCTAAAGAATTCTGCACTATTTTTAGACTCACACTTCTAGTGATGCAAAAACTTGTCTTCTTAATTATATTACATAAATTATGCTTTA